TCAGCCCGGACAAGGAATGAAATCAAGGTTGTGGATGGATGGTCCTGAGAAAAGCAAGGACGGATTAGGCGTTCCATTCATATGGTACATATAATAGCCGAGCCATTTTATGATTATTGTTTGTGTTTTTAGTAGCGTTTTGTTTCCTTCAGTTTAATGCATTTACGGTATTATGAGGATGGTAAACTTTATTCGAAGTTGGAACGTTTAACCCTCGTGGGCCCGGGGGGGCGTTTTTCGCCCCCCCCCCCCTGGCGAATATTTGCGATTACTCCAGAACGCTTAGGGATAGGAAGGCGAAACTTTCAGTACCTTTTCTCCCATCAATTTGACATCTTCTGAAGTAAAAAATTTGGACCTGATACGGACCCGTCTGTGACGCCGATTTTTGCCGTGCAGGGGTCTAGGAAAATGGACCTTGTGGACCTCATCAAGGGGGGGGTCCGTATCAAAGCGTCCAAAACCGCAGCGTCCAAAGTACGCAACATCCAAAACCGCAGCGTCCAAAGTACGCAACGTCCAAAATACGTCCAAAATCGGGTTTATAGGGGGCATTCACAAAGTCCAAAACCGAAACATCCAAAACCGCAACGTCCAAAACCGTATCATCCAAAAAACGTAACATCCAAAGACGAAACATCCAAAGTACGTAACCTCCAAAACCACAACGTCCAAGACCACGACATACAAGGCACGCAACATCCAAAACCAACCTAACCTAACCTAACCTAACTTAACCTAACCGAACCTAACCTACTGATTTTTGCCTATCCCTAACCCAACCTAACCTAACCTAACCTAACCTAACCTACTGATATTTGCCTACCGGGGATAAGGAAACCCAACCTAACCTAACCTAACCTAACCTAACCCAACCTAACCTAACCTAACCTAACCTAACCTAACCTAACCTAACCTAACCTAACCTAACCTAACCTAACCTAACCTAACGGTTTTGGATGTTGCGTACTTTGGATGTTGCGTACTTTGGATGATGCGTCCTTGGATGTTGCGTTTTTGGATGATACGTTTTTGGACGTTGCGGTTTTGGATGTTTCGGTTTTGGACGTTGTGAATGCTCCCTATATACCCGATTTTGGACGTATTTTGGACGTTGCGTACTTTGGACGCTGCGGTTTTGGATGTTGCGTACTTTGGATGCTGCGGTCTTGGACGCTTTGGTGGTCCCCCGTCACAGACGCAAACTTCAAATAGCTGCTAAAAATAGAGTTTTAGAGATAAAGACAAATTACGAGCACGGCTGTGTAGCGTTTGACCTAGAGATAAATAGAAAAATAGTTTTGGTGACCTGAGGTCAGAGGTCAGGTCAACGACCCCGAAATGTGGTTTTAGTTTTTCGCAAATAACTTCGACAAAAATGGTCCTAGAGCTTCGGCAGTGGTACCATCGCATTTGCCTTGTCAAGCCGCGTCGAATGATATATATTTTGTTCGGAAAAGGTCAAGTTTCATGTTGACCTCATGTGACCTCGAATGACCTCTGGTTGACCTTGACACATGAAAGGTCGTTTATGATGGATTTGTACCCGCTGATCACGAATCTGGCATCTATTTTCCTCTAAGCCTTCATTTAGAGCTTACGGATGGCAAAATTGTCTTATTTATTATTACTAACTTGAATCAGTGAAATAGCCTCTAGCAGGGATACTCTTCTGTGACCTTGACCTTTGAGCAGCCTTGTATCGTAAGATGAACCACAAATAGGGAACTGATAAGCCTCAAAACATTTCAAAACATCTTGGAAGTTAGCACGCAAGATGTGCGAAAAAGTGCCAAGTTTGAGGTCAATTTTGAGCGTGACCTTGACCTTGACCTTTGATTTGGAGCACATTTTCAGAATCCTCAGATTCTCTTCTTTCGTTTGACACCCAATTTTGCCGGTTTGATGCAGCCTGCCGTCCTCTAGAAGGCTTACTTTGAGATCACTACACATGTGCCGGTTTTGGCCTTTGACCTTGACCTCTGACCTTGAAAACTGACCTGAGGTCAAAAATTTTAGGTGCATTAGAATCGTCTCGTAAGGACCTTTCGTTTGGTATCGCTTTTGTTTCCGTAGCTCCCTTATTTACGGAGTTAGACAGGGGGGGCGAAAAACGCCCCCCCCCCCCGGGCTGCGGTGGTTGGGATTACCCCCCGGGCCCGGCCGGGTTAATGTTCGATCATGAGTTGCTGAAATAGCAGCTCATCTGGACGAACCGTGGCATATATTCAAACAAACGTTCACTAATACCAGCAAATGAGCCATAATACCGAACCGTTTGTGGCCAACGGATGTTGCATACTGATATCGATGTCGTGATCCATACTGTGGGCACGAGGAGCCGATTAAGAGGCATTACGTTACCTGAATGCTGCAATTTCGAACCGGAAGGTCACTTTATGCTATTACAGAGAAGCGGATATGGTCAGCATGGGATGTCCATTAGAAGTCATTTGGGGGTTAAACGTCTGGTGCCATGGGGTCGCTGCACAGGAGACTGCCGGAACTTTGTACGTGGGACCTTCTTCCATTGACCTCTTCTGTACGGCGGATGTATTAAGGTATTCAATGAATGGTGCCTTTGGAAAAATATGTGTTCCTTGATAAAAATATACCCTATTGTAATATTTGCAGTGATCGGTATGCCCAACAGCAGGCAACTTATCAATTGGTTGATGCTCTATCAGCCTTAAATTTACCGTGTATTTCTTACACTGGTTTTGTTATATTGAAGAAGCTCATCTCCGTCGCTGCTATTTCTGCCGACTCATCATTTGCGTCGTCTCTGACCACATCTGGTCGTGCGGTGTGGCCGCGGGTCGCTGCTGGGGGCAGGGAGGAGACACGCACCCACGTGCCGCTTGTTAGTCGCCGCTGTGTGCGTGTGTGCGGCCAGCCCCCTCCCCTCCTCTCACAGTGACTGATTGGGTGGGCCACTGACTGTAAACAGCGGCTCCCTGCCGTCACAGCTGCCGGCCACCGCCGCCCCGCTCTGGTCACCGAGGCCCCCCGAAATAACAGCAGTGTGGGAGGGGGGTACTGAGAAACGCAACCGGAAGTGCGGCTGAAGGAAAGGGATGCAGCCGCTTCTACTTGTGATAACCCTATCTTATATGATGTTGCATTGATCTGATGCTAAAACAAAATAATGTTCTTTCTAAGGACAGACTTCTTTTACATATCCAGCCACACTTCATGGTGCATCCATACTTGGATAAACTGGGCTGGATGTCTACAACGCTTGGGCCAAATATTCTCCTGACTGACAGGACGTTTTGATTGGTATACAATTGGCTGCAGCAGCTCCTTACGTTTCCATTCTGAGGTCAATGAATGGTTAAATTCCTATTCACTGCCGAAATGATGCAATTTGCATAGATCAACGCAGCCGAGAACAACACAATTTTGCAAATTTCATACTCCCCAGTCCAGAAATGCAGGAATGCTTTGTTTGTCTTCCGCTGCGATTGAAACTCGACCGCGTTCTTTCGATGAAGCGGAAGTCGGACGGGGCGCGGTCTCAGACAAACCACGAGAGGCTGGTTCATGGTGAAGTGACACCGGGCCGGCGGCTGTCGATACGCTGAGTGAGACGCCTCCGGCAGGCGGGGAGCTTGGTTGGCAGGCCGGGGAGGGTTCTCGACCCGCCCCCGGCCGCCGCTCACATTGCAGACATGAGCCGCATCGATGAGGCGACATGACGGCATATCTGTCCGCCGCTATGGCCATTAACAAACAGTTAGTGGAGCCGTTTGGGCGCGCGCCTCTGGCCGTTGCGCCGTTACCGATGCTGGCTTATCCGGTGCGTCGGCCATCCGTCCGGTGTCGCCGTCGTTTTTGCCCAACGGCGGTCGTCGGCGCGCGCTCCGAATAATTGTCGCGTGTTTTGCCCACGCATTGTGCCGGTATTCAGAGCAGAGGGCTGACTGAGTGTCGGTTCCGACGTGGTGAACCCGCCAGGAGCTAGGTCTGCACTGAATTTGAGGTGGCGTGATCTGCGCGCCTGGGGGCTCAAAAAAGATCGGAAAACTGCGCCGGTGAGAAAACACGGCCGCAGTTCGTTACCATTGTTGCGTGAGCCAGAGCGAGGGGAGGTGCTCTCTGTGAGTGTCTGTGACGGCGACCGAGCGGTGGGCCTGTCTGAAACAGTGGAGCAGTGTGTCGGAGAGTGTCTGCGACTGTGCCTGCGCAGGTATGTTGCGAGAGTTACTGGGATTTGGAGTGCTGGAAAGGGTTCTGCGAAAACGGCGGTGAATAGGTGTCGGATTGTACGTAGTTGTGTGCATGAGTGTCTGTTCCCAGTTCCCATCGATTATTTTTGACGCGCGAATCATAATAGCCATGTGTTCATGGATGATTGCAAGATGTTAATACATACATACAAACACGAAGCAGAAAAACGGAGGACCAGCCCATCTGTGTGATTTATTGTACTGTTCAGGCCTGGGCTCCAAAATTCTACGAACTCCATTCCATAAAGCTGTGATTTTTCCATGGTACCTTGAAAGTTCCATTTTTACCTGCATTTTTACCTGCATTTTACCACGCGTTCTTGTTTTTTAATATATTTATGCATGCCATAATTTGCCATTTGCCGGCATTTATCAAATGATCTTGATTCAACAGTCCACCTCATTCCCCCTTTGCGAACATGCAGACATCGCAGCTCCTTTCGACGTATTGGACACATACTGTTAAAACTTGAGGTCTGTGTGTAGCATAACACTCCTGTAACGTCTCGGCAGTCTGTATATATTTAGTCTCTGACATGTAAGTTAATGCCATATGGAGCAGATTGCGTGTTACCGGTAGCGTTGTATGACAGGCCGCCAACTCAGGCGAACGATTTGAACGTGCAAACATGTCCATCTGCTTCTTTTCTACCCCAAAAAGCGACGTGAATCACAACGTGTCGTGTTCAATTTTGATTCGCAAGTAACTAGGGTAGCTTGCGGAGCATTCTGCTGACATGGCGTGACTTGGTTTCTGCTCCTTTCCAGTGGGATGCCAGTGGTCGAGGCCTTCTGGCGTCCTCTAATCAGCGCGCGGTCACTCAGCTTACCAGGTCAGTGGCCTGGCTCCTGGCCGTCCGGCCTCAGCCCCACAGCCAGTCATCAACGCTCATTGTCGTAATACACTCCACATTCGCCTACCAGCATCACAGCTAATGCCGCATTCACGACATGATGTAACATAACACCCACCTTTTACGGAGCGCTGCCGGACGCTCGGAACTGTGCCGTCGGGCTCGGTGCATCTCGCCAGATTGCTGGCGAGGCGTCTGAGGGCATTATGTCGTGTTGGGTTTCCAGACAGACCAGCGAGTGGCGCTTGGTCCGGTACCGGTACGGTCTGGTTCGGTCCTTGTGTGGTCCGATTGGGCCCTGGGTTCTTTTCTAGTCCCCACTTTGGTGTACTAAGCTCGGCAACAGAGGAGAAAATAAACATAACCAAGCGACGTGAATCTACCCAGTCGTTGACATATGTGCAGCTTCTCGGGCTGAGCTTCAGTTTGGGTATAAGAGTAAAAGGGTGCGGTCACTGTGAGTCACTGGCGGACGCATTGCATCAGGAAGCGACGGGCCATTTTGGGCCATTTTGGAGCTTCAGAGTGATTTAACATAAAATTACGTAGATTTTCGGAGATTGGTGGAGAAGTGCGCTACGAATGATAAGTTTTGACGAACGTTACACGCGTTTGTTGTTCTTTGGGGATGATAAGATGTAGTCATCCTGTGTATTTTAGTTTATTATATTTGATATTTTCATATGCTCAATTTGTTCATATTTATTTCACGTTTTTGGGTTTCGTATTTATTATGATAATATGAAAATTAATTTCATATCTCATATTTCCCATAAATCATAACAGATTTCTCTATATATGTAGTCTATATAGTCTCTACAAGTCTGTGCTTCACTCCATGCCCTTTTCTCCGTTTTCATCCTTTCATCATCCGCGAGCATCAATCGCTGTGTTATATTCGCGCACAAAACTTAGCACGAATATTGGTAGTGTCCGTTTGCATCTAGCCACGTTTACACGACGTTTCGCGTCGCCTCCGATGCGCTGACGAGCCTGTCAATCTTCAACTGATAGCCAGCGCCCAGCTGGGTCTGCGAGCGAACCCTAGCGTCCCGGGGGGTCAGCCAGGCCGGAATATACGAGACAGTTCGTCAGCGCCACACACGCCGTCAGTGCTCTGACCATAACGACACTCCTCCGCGACCGTTACCCATCCGCGGTTTATAAACAACGGCGCAAAGGAGCGACCGCAATGAAGCGCCCATTACACACATTTCTGGGTCATGTGTGTAATTTGGAAGGAGCTGACTACATTATCTGTGCCATCGCGCAGAGTCGTAATGGGCAGTGCACAATTGCTCGTTCTGTTGCACTATCTCTATATTCGCCCCGCTTTGGTTTTGAGCGGAGCGAGTCTTTACGCTGCTGTTTGCAGCCACTGCACTGCTGATCTGAGGCGCGATCGGTGGGTAAGTGTGTCAAGGATCGCTACGGTTACGGCTGCACGGTATGATAATAGTCAGCTGTTACGGGATTTTATGCATCACTTTACTACACGTCTGACCTCCATGAGTTGCTGTGTCTTAGTGCATTGTGTAATAGATTGGAATTAGGAAGACCCCCGCTGAAAATCGGGGTGACCAAAATGAACGTGACCCAGTGTTTAACATAAGAAAAGTCTTGCATAAGACTGCAAGATAGATGTGACGTTTACTATGTGCTTTACTCGAAGGGTTCATTTTGCCGCCGCTGGGATGCATTAGGTTTCGAGAGTTAGGTATGGCTCCAATTTGGTTGCATTGCACTACACCAAGCTCACAACTAGGTATAAGTATCAAAACCACTTGCATTGAATCTGCTTGATGTCCGACCATCAAAGGTGGAGATGTTCGAAGATCATATGAAATAGACTTTAAACTTGCCTTCCCTTTTGTGAACTGGTTACCGTTTGAAAATACTGGTCCTTTGGGATGTTAATTATGCAAGAGCGGACTAAGTTGCTAGCAGCGGTGTGTGTACTGCGTACTGCATGGAAGACGTAATGAAACAGTCGCAACTTGAACAAAAATATGGCAGTTTTCACTCCGTTGTGCAGGCCGGCACTTGCTGATCATGGAAATCGGGATCAGGAGCAGCACAAAATATATGAAGTCACAGTGCGCGAAAAATCGCAGACCAGCTGGCTTTGCTGTGGTCCTACTCCTTAACCCGCCTTAGAGGTGGCAAGGGTGGCGCCGTCCCACGTCCCAGTCAAGTGATTGCTGGTCGACTCAAAATAGCTGACAGCCAGACGAAGTCAGACAACCGTCACAGGCAGGCGTCCAGACGCCAGGCAAACCGCCAACCGGTCCCTCTCTCCTCCAGTCGGCTGTCGGGCTTAGTCAAACAATTTACATTGCCATGATTATTTTCCCCACCCACGACTGCCTAATATGGGTCCCGATCCTTCCTTTCCGCCCATCCCTGATGAGTTCGCTGGTCAGTCTTCCGCCCGTTCAAATCCACCGAGTGAAGAGATGATGTCACCCAGGGTCAATAAGAAATGAGCAGCTCACTCAGCTTCTACCAACGGACGCCACTGAGTGTTGTCTCAACTCAACTCTGCTGAACTCAACTCATTGTGAGTGCACCGTCGGCCGCTGGATGCGAGTGCATGGTGCACTGAGCAAGACCCATCTGCTGTTCTGCCGCGCTCTGTCAGGCATGAGGGGGAGGTAGAGTGGAGAGGAGCGGGAGCGATGAGGCGTCGGGTAGTCGTCCGCTCCGTTTCGTTCATTGGTTGCGGGCAAGGCTGGCTGTGTCAAACCGGCCCTGCAGCAATCGAATACGCCTGGCGAGAGAGAGAGAGAGAGAGAGAGAGAGAGAGAGAGAGAGAGAGAGAGAGAGAGAGAGAGAGAGAGAGAGAGAGAGAGAGGAGAGAGAGAGAGAGAGAGAGAGAGAGAGAGAGAGAGAGAGAGAGAGAGAGAGAGAGAGAAAGAGAGAGAGAGAGAGAGCCGAGAGAGAGAGACATTCTCCTCCTCTCTCCTTCTCTGTCGTGTTTTATTCTTCTTTTGTCCTCTCTTTCCTGCTCAACCCTCTCTTACTCTTCCTTTTCTACACTTCTCTAATTTGTTCTGCGGCTTTCTCCTCTTCTGCGATCCACTCCAGTCCACCTGTCTCTCTCCTCTCTTCTCATGTGCTCTTCACTCTACTACCAGCATGCCGTGATTGGGGAGCAGCTACTAACAAAACGGCTTCTGTTCGCTGATTTCACTACGATCATTCATGAGGCGTCATGACCAAGCATCACTTCACAACAGCACCACCTGTGCTCATCGACTCAATCACCATTGGTGCCGGCGTGACCTGAATGACGTCACAACCGTCCTTCAGACAATTGATGGCTCCCGGTCAAATATGTCAGCTATTTTATGGTTCTGGTTTTGATTGTTTTCTTATGTCGAGCAATAAATGTCTATTGTTTATGCTTGATATCAGGGGTTGCTTTGATAGTTCAACTGTGCCTAGTGTGCATTTAAATAAAAGAAAAATAACTTCGCCATTTTTTTATGCTCCGAAATTCCACTTAAGCATTCAAAATACCTGCTTGTTAAACAAACAACATTTTATTTTACAGTCCTCTAACAGTAAATCGAGTCTATCGAGCTCACCTGACGTAGGAAGTGGGCGAGCACAATGGAGGTGTTCAAATGTTTCTACCGGTGCTGATGCATGCAAATTTGTGCCGGTCGTGAAGGGCTTGGTCCCTATCGAGGGCCGTCTATTCCAATGGACCTTGCCAGTTTTCAAATACTAGCCACGAGCCAAGAGCTGGCATGAAAGTGATATTCAATGTTGTCCACTGACTGGTATGTATGTAAATGAGCATGTTTTGCCATTAGACGGCTGCTTCAGAAGTCACACTGTAGGTATTCAATGGTGGGCTGGCATTCGTTGATATTCTGCATGATTGTAAAAGTATGTACATATACACTTTACACACTATAGGCTACGTTGCCACTTGTGTCATATTCTATGAATGGCTATATGCAGTTTCATCGGCATTTTTTGGAATCCTTCGATGCATTCGTTTTTAGCGATCCTATTGGTTTCGCAAACCATCTTTGCATTAATCTAACTAAATATGCCTACAATATGATTTATTAGTACTGTACCCAGATCAATGATTTAGTAATCTATACATTGGATAAGTTAACAAACTTTCTCAAACCTGAGTCCATTTAAGCGAAAAATAAACGCAGACAATAGCGACACATTCAATGAATGGCTAACCAATGCAAGATCAAGCGTTGACTCATCCATATTCCTCCCGTTCTGCTTTGTGTTGTGTATTCATGAGTTCTGCACGGCGAGTTTGTATTGTACCCACAGCGGATGGGGCTGTCACGCTCCTCCAGCGCCGATACATGGCCTTTCGGAGCCTGTAAAGGCTGCAGCCCACTCGTGTGGCATTTGTTGTAAGTCAAACGCCACTGAGGCTCGCTCGGCACGCCTATATTTTATTGTCCCATACCGCGTTTTCTGGAACGCCAGTGCGGCCGGCGCCGAGCCAGGCCGTCCCGCTATGGTGTCTCATCCTTTTCGATAGCTGTGTTTGTCGACATATCCGTCGGACAAATGCTCGTTGTCAACATAGCTGAGGTGACAAGCGACGCCGGCGTGGCTTTGATCTCCCAAACGGTCGGCGGTGGCCGGGCGAGACCGGACTGTGAGCGAACGACGAGCAGAGCGGCCTGTCCAAGCCTGGTAGTATGCAGTATCCAGCAGGACTGTATGTCGCTCATATTTATCAAGAAGAAAATAAACAAATAAATAGAATAAATTTATCCGGATTATCGCTGGCAGAATCCCCGCAGACCTCCGTGTCGGTTGTAGTACCGCAGAATGTTATAGCAACCATCGGACACCAAGTAGCTTCCCAGGGCTGATGCATGATATTATGCCGGTGGCGGTGGCAGTGAGACGGTCATGCCAGTAAGCTCAGACGGTCACTACCGTCTTGTCCGTCTCTGCGGGGCGTTGAAGGCCCCGTACAGTGC